GAAAAACCTTGAAGGGGATTAAAGGGAGCTCTAAGGATCAAGTAGTGAGAATTAGACACAACTAGGCGGGTGCGGGCGGTGGAAAAGACGATCGATAGAGACACCAGTCAAAGATGGACGTCCAATAGCACCGGGCCTCAATAAAAAGAAGTCAAACCCAGTGTTCTATGCCTACGATACCAGCGCAGGACATGAGACAGCGATCAACTACGGTAAGTCTGAACACAGCCCATCTGATACCGGTACTCACATGCGATAAACACCATGTCCTACAGGAGATCCAGCAAACCTAACAGATGAAACCGAGGCTAGCCAACCTCTTGTCCCGGGACTTGGAGTAGTCGAGAACAGCGGCGCACCGTGACCCCAATAGGGCCGCGGCAACCGGCTGGTTGGTGACAGCCATTCGGTGAGGACTCCCATGAAGGTCTTTCTGGTTGGGCTGGAGAAATACCGACATCCGAATACTTTCAGGGAACCGGCCATAGAATCCTCCTTTTTGAGAGTAGATCCACACATTGGATTACAGCAAGTCTCAAAGTATCCGGTTGTTTGGTTAGTGCTTATTAGTTTCGACACCATAAGTTCCCTAGTCGAACCGCGGATCCATCTATAAGAGTCAAAGATATTGCGGTAAACCAAACCTGCGTGGAGGAAACTATCTGTGTATTGGAAATCACAAACCGTGCGTATTGGCGCTGTTAGGTATCCGTCAGAGAACCTGTTATTTACTGGTAGGGAGGAGGGTAGAACTCGACAGGAATTAAAAAATGCCAAAAATATGTAGTAGAAATATCCTGAATGTTGCGTTAACTAAAGGAGGACTGGGGATCCATTTTATTGAAAGCCACAGCACTGACCAAACTTATATGCATCTATGTTCTATCCTGCCGGGCAAGTTTTCTACTGATCATAAGGCCTCTTGCCCAACCGGGCTCCTTGCCGGTGGGCGGAAAATTTGGGGGCCGTTATGGCAATTGCCTAGAGGCAAAGTCATAAAAATCGTAAAATCATAATGGATAGGGGGTAAAGCTATCGGCAATTGCAATAATCCGTGAAATCTCCACCTAGTTGTCAGGTGTGACTGTGCCAAAAAGACTATGATAACAAGCCAAACCCGCGGGGCTCTGCAAATGGATTCCGGATGCCCCTTAACCCCTATAACCAATACTCCATAATTCATCGACTCAGTTCCCGAATTTTCTGGAACCGCATCCAGTGACCAACATTCACTCCCCTTAGTCTAATGACAATATCTAAGTTACTAGACTGTCAAGGCTCATTACCTCGCCGCAAGAACTCGAATAATTGGCACTCGCGCTAAGACGTCCAAAATTCCCTCTCTCGGATAGGGGGGTCAAAACGCTGAGAAAATCGACCTCCTGAGCCCCAGCAGAAGACAGAAATATGCCGGACCGTGCCAGTAAAGGTGGGTCCTGATGGAGGTGGTGGACATGCACAGTTCGTGGTGGGATTGGAGGTGAGGAGAAGTATGTTGTTCTTGTCCACGAAAGGTGGCAAGCTATCTAATACATAGATGGAAGACACCACAAGAGGGTAAACCCTCATACCCATCTGTGCCTACAAGCACCACATACATGTATACCTCCACTGATACATTTCCCATACATGTCTCTGCATGTACCGGTGCTCCCATGCTCTGCCATATCTGTCCTCTCAACCATGGCAACACTCTACTATGAGGATTATTATACCATCAGGTCCAACATCCTAGCACGAGCGCCAATTATTCGAGTTACGGTATCTCTAGCCCAGATATGTCTCGCCCTCATCTGTGGGCTTCGGTTCTGCTGCTTGAGGTATCGACAAGGTGGTAACCCCCGCACTGCCAGGCTTTGGCCGTGAGATGTGACCTATCAGGTGCTGTAGAATAAAGGCCGGGCTGACAATCGATAGACAAGGCTACGGGTCTGTCTGCCTTCTTGGAATACCCTGAAGAAATTGGACAGGCTATGGCTGTGTAAATGAGACCCCCGTAAATGAAGCGAATTCACACTCACAATGCCTGCCTCTGTGAATTATACAAATGTGTAGAGGTCTAGACTTTATTTTGTCAAATAGGTTTAGGATTCGCTAGTGTAAGTACTCCGTATTTCTTGAAGAATAGCTACATACAAATCTCAATGCAAACCCAGGGATTGAGAGGTTCCCGGAGAGGGGGGACCTAATTCGAGGGTTCCTGATTACAAGTGTTCACATACAACCGGAATCTACCGGAAAGCACCCATAGTGTTAGAATGCGCAAGTGAGGGTGAGCTGTATCACTGGATCGTGTAGTTCTTGGACAAAAAGTCGTGGTTGGTGGTGTGCCCAAGTGCCTGTGAAAACACTCCAAGGATGTCGGGAATTCGGGGTCTGGAAATTTCAATTTGAGCCCCCACCACTTCAATTAAAACGGAAAAGATATTTGTAGGTAGCCAAGGAGATGGCCATTCTAAAATTCATATTTCCATGGCAGGTCGCTTTCTTCTGCGGGCCGCACTAGCCAGTCTGCGCACTCATTCCACAACTTGAGTTAGATTCCAAAAATTTGTATAGCCGCCCAGACAAAATGGTACATGTTTTCAAAATGTCAAACTGGCATCAAAATTATTCAATTTACTAGTGTTAATACCGAAAACTAACTATTTTCAAGGAATTTATTTATTCGCAAAAAGGGTGGCCGAGTTCTGTTTTTGCGAAAAACGTCACTTTCGACGAAAAAGCGGCCGCCAAGGACATCGTTTTTCGGGGAACCGGTACCCCCGAGACTAAAGAAAACTCCCGAAACAAAGCGAAACACTACGAGTGTTGGGGGAACAAACTCCCAAGGAATTCTCCAGAAAGATCATGGCTTCCTTTGTGACCCTATACTGTCTAGAAGGATCCCCATTCCCAAAATTTGTGCCCGGTGCCCTATGCCGGCCGTAGGGGCGAAGCGGGGTGAACCCATTTCCCTGTGCCGAACGGCGTGTGAGCAAGGCAGAACTCGCTACTCTATGCCGAATTGGACAGGGCCCAAAACCAGTAGATTGTAAAGCTACTTAACTGCCTGGCTCAAAGGTAACCTGGTGTGACCCATTTCATCCTTCTGGAATTTCTTTAAGGCGTGAAAAACGCTAATATTTTCAAGTTGCCGTCGGAGGGGGTAGACCCGGCGTGATTTGCGGCCGGGAGTGACGTTACTTGGTGATAGGGCACTATGAAGTTTTCTGGGAGGAGGAGTTGGAGGGTGATTGTTTGAACGAGGGGTTAGGATAGTAGATAGAGAGCAGAGGGAGGAGAGAGCATGCTATCCCCGTTATCTTGTCCGGGGCGATGGCTGTTCGATTTCCGTACCGGTATCATAAAAACCGGAACAAAGGTGAATCAAGTCAGGATGCTGGGGTTGCCTCCCCTAGTAATGTCTGTTTTCTTTTGTTTTGTTTTTTACTTGTCTCAGCTCAGGGCTGAAATAGGGTCAGAGTGTTTTCTCCCACTACGGTAATCCGAAGGGCGGCCACTCCCAGTGAACGCAGTTCTCGCGCTAGCGTTTTTATCATGATTGAGACTCAGCTTCGTTGTGATTCAGAGCCCCGTCGATCAACTCACCGGGCCCATGTTTAAGAATGGGTCGCCTCTACCGGTATTATGTGAGAGGACATGGAAGAACAACCGGATGTTGTGGGTGATTCTGGAAACTGGGGGAGTATGGTGAATCATCTGTGGGTGCGGAGCTCCATTCTGGAGCTTTGTTGATTTATGGAGAAGCTCCTCCCGGCATGTTCCTCCCCCGCTATCGCGGCAATATAGGGAGGAATGGAGGCATGCGCAAACCATTTCCAAGTATTTGTAGTCTAAACCACGAGTGTAATCGACTTACTGGTTGGTGCCCGCCAACTTAAAGCCGCACCGGCCGTAAAATCTATTTCCGTCTCCAAAGTAGACCTCCGGCGAGTGACTAGAAATGACGGTGTTGTGTATAAATTCAGACCCGCATACCTGACAATATCTGGTATTAGTACAAGTACAGTACCGGTTCCGGTACCGGTACTCTTATTCCGGCCAAGACCCCGCCTAGCAGGGTACTAGTACCCTTTTTTCCACGAAGGCTTTGCCAACGGGGCTATACTTGAGTACGAGTACGAATATAGTATCGCTCGCTCGGGGTCGCTCCACCATTTTTCATTCGCCTCAAAATTCTCCCAAGACTTTAGCCATTGCTTTGTCGCGCACGGCTTCTACAGTGTGTGATAGGCCGTGACACTACCAGTGTAACAAATTTCTCTCTTATCGCCGTGACTAACAAGACCTCGTGACGGCAACGCGTTGGACTTACTGTGCTAGTGCAACAGTCATTGCTTGCCCCACCAGCAAGCACTGCTAAAGTATGATCACGACACCCGGCCTCAGCCATCACTCAACGTTACTCCCAACCACAAGCATCTACTCTCCCATACAGGTACTGTACTGGTAGTCGAGTACTGTCCATGGAGACTACCATACCATGCCGGTACTGAAGGCAACAAATAAACCCGGGGATTTGACAATAAACAAAAAAACCATATCAAAGGCAACCCACTGGCTGATCACTTGCTGCGATTCCGCCAAGGAATCGAAGCGGTTTTCGGCTTTCCCACGCAGTCCTGGCAGCAATTCCAATAGGCCAAAAATAGGCGCCAACTCAGGTAGCGACCTATCGCATCAAGAATTCCTATCCTGGAATTCCGGACCCCTGCCACCTGATGCAATCTGGGTCACAGGGATGCTCCAGATCCACCCGTGATCTAAACCGTTCGGCTGAGCCCCGGTATCCGCGCTTTCTCTTCGCCTTGTCCCCATTACCACATCAGGCGAAACGATACGGCTGAATGGATTCAATACAGCGTCGGGCAGAAGACTTACTATCGGTATAACTAGAGTACCTAACCACCTAACCAGACTACCGAACCAACTGACGAGATAAATATACTGCGCAGATCGCTAAAATGTTTTTCTCAGCCCTAACAAACGCGTTAAACATGACCCGGCTCCTCCCCCTCCTAAGCAACCTCCGCTTAAGATTTGGTCTAGGCTGGACCTCTCCAACCCCCGTTACAAAGGGCCAGGAAGTATGGCTTTTCGACAACACTGCATTCCCCACCCCTGGCCAACCCGGGAAATGGAGCGCCGAGTTCGTAGCCGCCTACTTCCAAGAGGACTCCGGTGAGAGGGCAGCCAGGGTCGTCGCAGAGATAGCGGACCAGCTGGGCTTCGCTGGAGACGATGAGGCAGAAAGTAGGATCGCCGAGCGTGTGGAGCCGTTTCTGAACATGATTCTCTCGAGGAAGTATGTTGATGTGATGTTTGGTGGTGAGGCCGGGGAAGGGGGGGTGAATGGCGGGGAGGGAGTTTTGAAGCTGGGACCGGCGGCAAGACACGGGATTAGTGTTAATGAGCTTGTCTTGCCGGGGGAAGGGTATGTCGACGATCAGATTGTCGAGAGTTCTGCGGTGTTGGTTGAGGGGAAGGCGACTATGCGAACGGCGTTCGCGGAGGAGGTTGGGTGGGGTGTTATCTCTGGTTGGTGTTCCCCTCACTGCACCCCCCGTGAGAACGATGATTGATGTAAAGGTGTATGGAAAAAAACAGACATAGACGATACCATAAAAATCTCCGAAGTCCGCAACCGCATCTCCCTCCTAAGACACACCTTCGTCGACTTACCTACACCCGTACCTGGCATGCCGGAACTGTACCAAAGCCTCCAATCGCGCCTCAACAAACCCGTCTGGTTCTACCTCTCTGCAAGCCCTTACAACCTTTACCCGCTCCTGCGGAGCTTCACCTCTACCCACTTCCCCCGCGGGCAATTATTGCTCCGAGAAATGTCTTGGATGGAGCTACAGTCGTTTATAGTCTCCCTGACCATCGGCACGCAACGGTATAAAGAGGAAAGGATCAGAAGGGCTTTCGCCTGGCTACCGGAGAGGAAGTGGGTGCTTATCGGGGATAGCACGCAGACGGACCCGGAGGCTTATGCTACGTTGTATAAGGAGTTCCCGGAGAGGGTGGGAAGGATTTGGATTAGGGCTGTGAAGGGGGTTGACGAAGCGGAGGAGGCGGAGTTAAATTCGCAAAGAAGGTTTGAGAGGGCGTTCGAGGGGGTACCAGCCCATGTGTGGAGGACGTTCGAGCAGCCGGAAGAGTTGGAGAAAAGTGTTCGGGAGTTGGAGTGAATCTCTAGATACTGTTGGCTCCTGTTGGGCGCACTGGAATAATAAGATGGTCTATACGATAGACGAATAATTGGGAGGCCGTTTTTTTCCCGCATATTTGCTTTTGCTTGTGGATCATATGTATGGAGTGGTGCTATAATCAGGAGTTCTTCCATGTTACCTGAGCCTATTATGCGCGTTCTATCTATTCGTGCGAGTGATGGTATCGAAAGCAGGGTTCACGACACCCTGTTGTAACCGAATACCGGACAGGGCCCAGTTTAGATGCGCTCTCTGGGGAGGAAAAAGAAGCAGTGGGATATTCGGTAGAGACAGGGAATAGCCTGACGCTCGTGAAGTGCCTCAACCCTCCACTTCTGCTCCAGTTAGAAGATTTTTCTAGGGATCAAATACGGTATTCCTGCGGTAAACTTAAAAAGGACTATTCCTGAAAGGGAACAATGGAAGAAAGGCTGAGAATAATTGCGTACCGTAGTATGTTGGCTTGGTACTATGGAATCCAGGGGTGCGAGTTCTCCTACCTTGTGCAGGATAGCTTGAGAATTTAGACTGCAAGAAAGAAATCATAGCCAGCTTCGACCAGATGGCCTAAATTGGGGGTCTCGCCTGGCGTGCAAAATTGCTTCTAAAGCCCCACACCAGCCCCATTTTTATCCACGATGAGCACACAGCTGCAATATTTCAGGCTGTGTAAACATCGCTGTTGGTTTTTCTTTCTTTCTTTTAGCTCCACGAACTTGCCACCAGTGATTCAGCCATTCTATCCCCCTTACCATACACCCCCCCCCTTTTGCCTTCAGTTCCCCCTCTCAAGTGGCCAAATGGACTCATATACCTTCTCACCTCTTCCCTCAGTAAACCCGGCCGCCACTGTCTGCATCCCTAGCCTGGTTGCTCTAGCGCAGTGTTCACACCAGAAATGAACACATCTTCTAGAAAATTCCGAGTGAGGGTCGATGATTCCGATGACACTCTCCAGACCACCGAGATGCTAGCAAGCGTCGTAAAGCACTTTGCTTCCGTAACCACAGCAGACCAACCGATAAACGGTAAAAATTAAAAAAAAAAAAGATTAATGTAACCGGTATTTCTTACTAGAATTTAATTATTCATCTAATACTCTCAGGAGCCCATCTTAGCTCCCAAAATGTAGGTCTCTCATTTTTGGTGCTAAATTTTGACCCCTCATAGCTCTAGTCACCTCCCGGGTTAAACTTATGATATAGAGTTGTGGATAACCGCGACGTGCCTTACTCTTTGATCATATCTATTGATTATTTTATTCTGATTTTTGTTTTCAAGTTAAGGCTAAGTTATTCACTGTGGAGAGAGACACATGGAGAGGGTGAGCGCTGCCACAGTTTAGTGATGGGTAGAGTAAACTCACAGAAGTACTGGTATATGAAGGAGGACGACCAGGGGCGGTAAAAAGGTCGACCGCGTGGGGGTAAGCCTATACCGGCACCTCGCTCGCAGGAGGATGAGTGGGTAGCGGTTTAGGTCCGGAACGGGCCCAACTTCCTTGCCGAATGGCAATGTCAATCTGCCATTCGCACGAAAAAACGAGGAGAGAAGCCACATAATACATATAGAAAATGAATTGGAGCTGTGATACATGAGGGGGGGAATCTATAACATGGAACCAAAACACGGGACTTCAAGTCAATAAGGATTGAAATAACAGAGGCTACTCCTACCACTATACTCCAACCACCTAGAATGGAAACCCAGAATTAGCCACCCATCACATCTTTGAGTCCCCGGAATGTTTTCAATAATAGTACAAATGCCCTACACTTCAAAGACATGAAGAGTTCCACGCATCGAGAATTCTCAGGCTTGGGAATAGTAGGTAGCCCAGAGGGAAAGGAACGAGTAAGTAAGGGAAATAATGGCAGTGGGGCGGTATCGTGGGCCCTATAAGCCAGGGAAATATGTACAGAAGGACACGAGAGCCAGAGTATGGAATGCCGCCCCGAGCACATTGCAGGTATACTTGCCCGTTAAATCAGGATTAACGTATACTATACCCAACTATTACTTAATCGCTGACACTTGCACCCCATCGCACCCCACGAAAGCAGTTTCATGCCTGTCATTTAACTAGTCAGTTTGACATCTTGTCAGTCCAAAAGTTGGTCAATTACTGACTCGTTCCTCTTCGCCGCCATTCGCATGGTGATACATCAACCTCCTCGTCTAGCTTGCTGGTATCGACGGCTTCCTATCCAGTAGCAGCTGCACTACCTCCTCATGCCCATTATTACTTCTCATATGAGTGGTGTTACGCCAGCGGAATCCCTTTGGTTGGTAGCCCAATCATTAATTCCTAACAAAGTCATAATCTCAACAACCCCGAAGACCACAGCGTAGTCTACTAAGCCATGGAGGTGCATTAGCTTCAGCGGAATCATGGGGTTCCGGTATTTTTTCGGAAGTGGTTTAGCGGTTACGTGGTTCTCTCTCTCATCCAAGATCTCTATTGCAAGGAACCTCGGGTGATCGGAGACTTGCGTGAGCTCCATTAAGTTATATCTCGGCCAATACCAAAGGAAGGACATTCTGGAGGGGCCAGGGCATGGCTTGTACGAAAGGGCCTTGACCGCGTCTGAATTGATGTGGGTGGAACGGGTTTCCCCATCGCCGAGTAAGCGGAAGCAAAAATGTTCGGATGAGCGGAAAGGGGACTGTACTCTCGGAGTACATGGTGGATAAACGGGTGGTATGTCTGTCTAGGGGATATTTAATCCTTGAAATATGCAGATCCGACCTCTACCCCAAGTGGATGGCACAGTTCATCTACTTGCATGATAACGGCCGCCCCAAGTGACGAATCCATGTGAAAGTGGCAATAGTCAGTCCCGCTTTCTCACCGCCTTGAGCTCTTATCATTCCTAGAACCGTCTTGTATGCATCACCAAGCCCTAACCCATCACCCATAGCATCGTGCCTATTTCACCTAAGATGGATTGCCCCCATTCCCCTAGGACTACCTCGGAACGAAACTAGTAGGGGCCGATATTTGTATCCTTCAGCATACGACCCCGAAATATTCCCTACATCCCCCGCTGCTATGATACTTACGGTTCGACGATTTCTTCAGGACCTCTACTCGAAATATTATTCTCCAACTCGCTATCCATTATCCCGGGAGTTATGTCCTTCCTCAGTCCCGGGCGCACACATATGGCTATATCGCCACCCCCGGGTCTACAGACATACAGTACCTGTTGGTCTTGCTCCTAGTTTCCTCTCAGCCGCTCCCCGAGTGAATAGCCTTTTGGCTATGGACCTCCGAGTGATTGGCCACCGCTGGTGAATTTGTCCCAACGAATCAAGAACTTCGAGTCTATGTTTTGGAACACATTCACCAAGTGTGTCGGCGCGTATGAACGCGCCGTAAAGACGAGATACTTGGGAACATGTTCACAATATCAAGGATTTATATTATATATTCCGGTCATCAATCACCTTTGGCCCCGAAATTTCTGCATGGTTACCATCGGAATCGCTACTGATATACTAAGAAGTTGCTTAAGTATCTAGCGGACCGTAGGGAGGAGGCTGCTTTTCCCTGGTAGCGAAGCTGTAGTGGTAGCAGACTGCGATCATATCTTGTTGTACGGCCCGGTTGTATGAATGGTCCACCACCGCCCGACTACTGCGGTGCGCTGTCAGCGGTAGTGGTCTTCGTTTGTTCCCACTGGTGGTTTCTCATGCCTAATGTGGCTCTTGCGGACCCCCGGATTGCCATAGCAGACCCAGGCCGTGCGGTCAGATTCATCTTATCATTACCGCTATAGCGCTCCTAAACTCTTTTGCTCTCAGCAGCCGGCCCAACATTGTCTACCCCCTTACTGCAAAGGTCCCAGCATCGCACCTGAAGCTTTACAGGAGACAGCAGCGTGCCAGGATTTTAGTCCCACCACCTCCAACAGTAAATGTAGAGCTGTTTGAGAATTCATTGAAAGGATTAATGTTGTCTGCTGTGAGACGCTTAACCTTAGAAAAGTCTGATCTTATTCACGAGTGAGCGCGCATTTAGATATCCATCTGTATGGGGGTTTAATTTTTTATTTTTATTTTCTGTTATTTTTCCAGTTTTAGTTACTATGTTGAGAGGATAGAGTGCGGGTACAAATGAAATAGTGAGCGTGTGTTGATAGCGACATAAAGTGAGAGTACATGATTGTGATGAATATTCGGTGTATAAATGCTGAAAAGAAAAATGCGACCAGTATGCAACGCAATGCAATAATAATAATAATAAATGAAATAAAAATGCTAAATGCTAAATGCTAAATGCTAAATGCTAAATGCTAAATGCTAAATGCTAAATGCTAAAGAAGGGGGGAAAAAGAAAAATGCTATGAATTCCGTACTATAATACAATGAAAACAAAGGAAAGCACTGACCCTAGGGACGGAAAACATCCTCAATGTTTGTCAAATCAGGCTTATACTCCCAATTGTCATCGCCAATTGGGATGGCATACCCACAGTGCCTCTGGAAGTAAGCATGTGTAACCATCCATCCGAATCTATCAATCTTAGCATGGAGCGGGGTGTCGGTAAACAAAAACGGCGGCCCCATCCTTCTGATCAGTGCCGAGGTATGCGCGATCTCCCTGGTAAGTGTGGTCGCAAGCACCTGCCAATTGCTGATGCTCGGCACTCCGTCGGCCTCATCAGGACAGGCGATGAGTGAATTAATCGGGCGTCGGTACTCAGCGTGCGCGGGGTCGTACATCTTGAGGCAGGTGTAGAGGACGTTATTCTCCGGATTCGTGACCGCGATGCGGGCGGTTGTGTGGTCGGGCTCTTTCAGGCTGTCGCAGGCGTTGGTCGGATTCTCGCAGTCGACAAAGATAGTGCCGAATTCGGATTGCGGGAGGATGTACTCATTGACGCTTGCGCAGAGTTTTAGGAAGAGGTGATAGTCCTCTATCGGTAGCCACTTTTCGAACCACTTGTTGAAGGCTGTTGGGCTGACTTGCATTGCTCCGAGAACCATGATTCGGACGTCATTAAAGCCTTCTCGAAGTACGTTCGAGACATCTTGGAGGCTACCACTAAGTTGCGCTGTGCGACAGTTCTTTCCGTAGTCTGTGGGCATCTTGAGGTCGCGGGATATGAGCGGTTCACTGGACTGTACGGTCGGGGCGGCGACGGTGGTGGCGATCGGAAAGAGGATTGGGAGAAGAACAGCGGCTGTGGTGAACTTCATGATGATAATATGCCAATAAGTGAAGATAAAAATTGAAAACAGATGAAATGCTAAAACTCCAAAATATGCTATTGGTATGAAACTGGAAATCGTGAAAACCGAAGGAAGGGACTTGCTGTGTAGTGGTGGGAGTGGGAAAGAGAGATATCCAGGCGGCTTTCCTGCTCAATTATATACACCCCACCTTTCGTATGCACCTAGATAGCGTGCAGCGGAATCTTGATTAAAAAAAAACCACCACCACCACCACCACTGCCGTCGGGACGATCTACCGTGCATGAGCCCACTACGCACTCGGCTAGTAACCAAAATAAACTCCACACGCGCATCCCCAGACGTTGACCTCCACGGATCAGGTCAAGAAATCTGCTCATAGGAGCTACGATGATGACCCAAGAACCAGGCTCCAATTTCTGCACGGAATCAACTAATTTTAGCTGAATAATTCCAGAAGCGGAAGTGCAGCCGGGTAATTTCCGCACAGGGGTTGGTGAAACGGGAGTGGCTGTGTTTAGGGTCGTTACAGTTGTGCAACGGCGGCGGGTACCTCAACTCGCACAGTAAGATATAGTTTCCCTTTGTTTATTTATTTCCTTGTTTACTTTTTTTGGGGGGGAGGAACCTCTGAGGCTCCCTGAACGCCGTATTTTGATAGGATGCACACAAATGGATTCTGTAGGTCCTGCAGATTCTGCAGGTTCGGTGCGGATTATTCTTTGTCACTTGGATAACACCCCCTTACTTCCAGATATGTGCCCGTAACAACTAGCCACCTATTTACGCATCGAGTATAGGGTGATTCTAGCGAAGGTGGCTCATAGCATCACTGCATCTCCAAGAGGAACTAAATTTACCTCGTGCGTTGGCTACCGAATCGCTTTCCGCTAATCCAGCGCAAGTATATTGCCGCGTCGCTGGGCAGCTCGTTCCACTGATTGATATTTCCCCCACAAGGCAAAGAAAGTCCTTTTCCCCCGAATCACGCGATCGTGGACCTTGCCCGTCATTAAAAGTCTATAATTACCCACCGCTGCCGAATATAGTATGGCTCCCGCGAACCGGTTTGTGCGGGGCCCCAGCCAGCCCCCCCAGATTATTTATTAATTACTTGTAACTTCTAAATTAATTATTTGGGTTTTACTTGTGCGGGCCGCGGGTTGCCCCGTTGCATGTGCCGGCTGCTGTGTAGCCCGAGCGAGCGCACGGATACTGGAAGGAGGACGGGAGGTCTGTTGAGAGAACCTGGCACCGCACCCAGTGGTATCCGTATCTCAGTATCGATAAGTTTATTTGACTCGAGGATATATTTTGAGCACAGTAATGTAATATTGAGATGGTGCGTTGTATTGCAGGAGTTTATTTATCGTACTTGAAGCATACTGCTTGTACGGTAGAGGGTAATATAATAGGTTCTAGACCGAGCACATCCGGCGTTGTATATATCCGATAGGGCAACCCCACCCTTATGGAATAGCCGCCGCAGATGCCGCACCTGAAGGCATGCTTTGATAGGACACATCTCTATATAACGGTAATATTCTGCACAAGTGCAATAATCTAGATCGTGGCGCGAAGATCCACGATTAGAAATTCTAGGCAGGCGCATATGGAAGTGCACCCTGTGACCCGTGCTCCCTATGAAGTGCTGGTTTTTCCGTAGAATGGTGTAATTGGCAGCATAGAGAGTGGAGCTTGGCAGTGCGGGTGGGGGCTCCTGCCCTTCTGCTAGCAGCAAGTAGTAGAAGCGCAAAAGAGGGAGGGTGTTCTGAGGTGATGGTGGGGGTTGGATAAAAAATGAAATACTACAAAACCCTAGTAGATAGGCCGATGCAAGAATAGCTATTATAGTGGGACACATGCCCGCGAACAGACAGGCCGGGGGTGTCCCTACCAGGATGCACTTGTGCTGGTAGCTACATTGCGAGTGTACCGTATGTATCCGAGTTACAAGCGATGTCGTTCAATCAATCTCCGAAAAGCAGAGAGGGGGGACTCCTTGAAAAAATACACTTTTTATCATCCTATCATTAGACCTTTATGTTGAGGGAAGCTCTAGCCACTTAAAGTTTGTGCGATCGCACTTCAAGCTTCTGCCAAGGAGCTGAAACCATTAAAACTAGAGGAGACTCCTCCGTATATAAATTTATTGACAAACGTTCGAGTCCTGGCCCGAAACGGGTGATATACCCGTCCTACCGGTATCCCAAAACGATATATTACATGATCATATGCGGAGTAAGCTGTTTAACAGAATATGATCGTATTTTAGGACTCCAAACCAAAAATTCAAACACAGACCTTTTTGATCACAATACCGGTAGTTGCCTTGCGTTCGTGTTTGTTTACGGCATTAGGCAGGCGTCGGTAATATGTGTGTCTGCGGTCTGCAAAAGAATTATTGGGTATTGAGGGGATACTCGGCTGGCCCAGACATCAGGTGGAATACACATGTACTCGCACGTTAATCTATTAGCTACAGCAGGTAGTTCACAGATATCGATAGCAGATACGGTAACCCCTGGATCTGCAAGACCCTGCAAATTTCCTGCCACCCCTGTGAGGTTCTGAGACAAATATGACTAAGGTGACATTATCTCTCTGCTTAGTCATGATAAAGTATTCGGACACTTTAGCAATTTGGTACCCGATTTGGCGCCAAGCGTCCGGATACTTTATAGATATTCGAGTGCCGGGGCATTTCCCCTGCGACCGCCAGCCCAGGCGTGGTCGCAGCTAATATTAGTTATGGTCTGGGGTCTCCGCACCCGGGAAATTTTTGTTCCCGACGGAGAGTTATAATACTTATTGGCCTCTGCCTCAAACACTGACATTGACATATCTGGCATTAAATTTTCAAAATCTCGCCGGCCCAGGAGATAGCCAGCTAAAATAGCACGCGCCGGGGGGGGGGGTTCGCGAGACCGGAGATACCCCGGCGGACTCTCCTGGCTGACTTCTAGCACTCGCCAATTGGTAAGGTATCCGGACATGAAAGTGCCGAGTTCCAGAATCTTTGCCCCTTTTCTTCCTATTACCGGTACCGGTGCCCGACAAACCGGCAGGCAAACCGCCTAAATGCCGAAGCCGAAGATTATTGAGAGTTTCGCTACTCTGCCAAAAGTGCCTGCACAGTACCGTACCAACATGATAGGAACTGAAAAGGGGGGTTGCGAACTCATAAGTGCTTTTTCCTCAATCAGCACTGCGGGATCGGTTACCGGTATGCGTGTCAGAGGAGTACCGTATTGTGACATTTCGGTAGTGGGTAATTGGTGTTCTCGATATCCGGGTTGGGAGAAGCAATAGAGAGTGTTTAAGGTTGTACCGGTAGTTATGATTATACGAAGGAGGCTGGAGGTCGGTAGAAATATTGCTAATCTAGCCCGCACGGACACTGCCATGAGGCGTGCTTGTAAACTACCGGTAAGTTCCCGATGGTCTGATATTTTTTTATTTTTATTTTTATTTTTTATTATATCTGCTAGAGGTGCCTAGTAGTTCTTTTTTTGTCGTCCCCTCCGACTCCCTAAAGTGGAGGATTCTCGACTGCATAGCACAAGGTCCGACTACCGGTCTTCGTGTTTTTGCGGTATGATTCTACTTCCGTGCCTCTCTCGCCTCCCTTGGATTCTGGCTCAAAAGGGCTAAGTCCGCTTATCCCAGGCCATCAAATTTCCTGGGATTTGGTGACTCGAAGCTCCGTACCCGCGCCGTGCTCACACATCCCCTGAGACCAGAAACTAGAAGGACAGCAAACCCAATTATTTTTATTAACATTTTTTAATCTACTGGTGAAGGCCAGAGTAAGGGCTTGGTGATCCTAAGATAGCTCTGAGGTATGAACAACAATCCTTCCTTTCCCTTTCCACTTAGAAGGTTCTCATGAAATGTGCGGGGAGTGCCAAACATAAATCTTACTATTACCGGCCTTTTAGCCAAGTTAGCATGAGGAAGTGGATGGGTCAGTTAGCTGTTCACGGACTCTCATATTTTGATCTCAATGTTGGGGTTTCTCGAAATTGGAGTTCAGTGAGTTCTCATTTGCACCGGGTTCATCTAGTGATGTGTTCGGAAGTATGGTACGGCTCTTGTGAGGCGGGGGTGCGGTTTGCCAGCTACCGTACTCTGCCCGATCTCTGTATTGGGACCTTAGAGTGTTTGGAGGTGCTGGCTATCCTCCATTACTCGCGCCCCCACCGGCATATCTTCTATCTTTCTGTTATTAATCGTATCGCTTTGTTCCCGCTCTATAGATTCCCTGGGTATCCGGACCAGGAGCATGATAACTCGCCGGGGTCCTCCGATATTGTGGCGCGATAGGGGAGGGTGCAGAATCCGGAGAAATAGAGACCATTTCAGATACTCCATGGACGGAATTATCATAGCTTTCCCTTCTTTGGGGAGAGTTCCAGTGTCGGGATTTCGAAGAAAATTTGCAAGTCGCCCCAAACGGAGCGATCCACTCACGATACTGTTCTTGCTAAATCCATCAGCTAAGTTAGCTCGGCCCGCAAAATATGCCGACCATGACGCTCTGTTCTGGATACGTTTATGGCCCGAATCCCACCGGTGGTTCTGGCGTTATCACACGACATGATGAATCCGGCCGGTTCGGGTAAATTTCCTGGGTGTTGGATGGCAGTTTTGGTAAAACACTTTTCCCCCCCCGGGGTTCTTAGGCTCCTCGTCATGGTGGAGAAGTGGATCCTCACACAAGCCGTGGCTCCAGGCGTCGTGTGCGATGCAGTTCTCTCCACCGGCTGGCTATCGCTCCCTTTCCCTGTTCTTTTATCTTACAAGTACTCGGGGGTGGCGCTGGTGATGGTGCACGTACACTTAAGGAATCAATAGCCTCAAAACCTCTCTCTTGTTTTGCTAGATTTCCCTTTCTATATTGATTGCTTTATCCTACGCTGGATGAGCAAAGGGTCAGGCTCCCACAATCCCTAACTACCTGACCACCCACCCTGAACCTGAATATACTACCAAAATAAACCTCTCAAAGGTGGACCGCTTCATGTACCCGTCACCCGCAACTCGCATTCTAGTTTCAAACCCACTTCAGGTGATTTGTTTCCCTTAATAAATACTGGCCCAACTCATCCTATGTGGTTAGTTAGGATATGCCTCGGTAAAGCTCCTTTGAGTCGGGAAATATGATACATGCTCTCCCCCGTTGTCCTCTGACCCAATCCGCAGTTCTACAACTACCCCTGAACATCGATGTGCCATCCACAGGGACTACTACAATTTGACCTAGCGATGACCATCTAAAGATATAATGGCGTGGACGGACTCTGGTATAGTATCTGAGATAGTCCTGTCCGGGGCTCCCAGCACTCTCCCCGCCGGACCTATGGGACCCCCGAACTACTAGCAGGAGTAGTCATGAGGGGTCAGAAAGCAACAGATTTCCCTAAAACCGGTCCCCAAAAGGTTGTGGTACTGTGCGTGTGGAGTATGATAAGACGTGTATTTTTTCAATCGTTTTGGACGCCACAAATCCCGAGGAGCAACCCAAGCTTGAGGAGGGCAATGTTGGTTGCTATGTATCGTCCCCACGCAAGAGTGGCTGGCTCTACGAGTGTCTTGAAATCCTCTACCTCTTACCCCCTGCGACCGTCCCGAACCCCGGACGAAGACCCACTTGAATCTTCCCCAGAACCTCTGTGCATCGACCGGCTCTTTGAATTATTCCCGGAAGTAACTTGGGATTCGGGCGATCTAGTGATTGTTGCCCGAAAACCTCCGGTTTTGGTTCGTGCGCCCTGCTCTCCCCTCTCTGATGTTTGCTGCAGACTCCAGTATATGAGTGAGAGGTGATGACCAGGCTCAACAAGGAAACTTAGTTCCTGGGCCATACCGGTAAATGGGGAGAGTTCTTGAATAAGCTAGCTTTGGTAATGGGGTGGAACACTGCCGCTCACATTTTCAGGCCCGGCCGAAGGGCTCTGAGCGCCCTGGTGCAAGTCAAAATTGTTCCCTGGTCGGTCGAGCGCCGTCTTACTCACACTTTCAGATGGCCGGCACCGGTAATTGGAAAAAATGGCCCCCGATGCCGAGACGGGTGAGGGGAGAAGAATAGCCTGGGGGCACGATGTGACCTCCGGGGGGCGGTATGCAGGAAGCGAAGGCGGGTACCGCGGCCGAATTAAAATGATTCGCTGGCTCACCCTTTTCTCTTTCATCCAGGCCAAGAGTCAGCGTGTCTTCTCAAATAAATAGTACTTAAGCTCGGCAACCATTTTTGGAAATATTTGCCGGGAGAGCAGAGATAGAGTATACATAAAATTTTCTAGGGTTATACCATTGTTAGATGCCTGCTGACGGTCTCAATGATAGATCAATACTGCAACTGCAGAGCAACCTAAAGAGCTGTGGAATTAACTCGTCGCATAATAAATAATGGAGTTTCTCTGTGCGGTGCTTAAATTTTGGTTCGGCCCTTTCCTTTTTTTTGAGCATCTGAAGTGTGCTGAGAGCGAGCTTGGGGTTATTTATGGTGGGTGGCCCTTCCTTCACGATGTATCACCTGTAAACGCACCCCCGTGCTTAACATCAATAGGAGTGATCGGAATAGTCTTTTCTTGGCCCTTTTGAGAGCCCTCTTGATGGTCAAAGGACGGAAAGGGCCAATGAATGACAGGGAGGGGAGGGCTTGCATATGATAATTATTACAGCAGGTACCCGTGGTGAAAGTTTTTTTGTTCGTTGGTTATCTCACTTGTGTGGCGAGTAATGTTTGCCTCCGAAGTATTGGCTAGCCTGATCTGGGGAGGACCGCTTGTTAGCGGACTGGACGCAATACGAGGACTGGATTAATAATACTTTGTTTGCAATACTTGAAATGACTATTTCGGGGGTTGGAAGGGGCCTGGTGGGCAGACGGGGGAACCACTACCCCGAAGGCTGGTATTGTTTACACCCCGCAGTATCACAACATCTTTGCACTCGATATACTCTTTAGAGTGACTAAGCGAAAATGTGGAAAAACCTCACTTTTCAATTTATTATAGTTTACCGAAAGCAAGCGCCCTGTTCCAGTGTTTCAGGTTTAAAGTCACTTTATCTGTGTAATACCTCAGTATTAATTTGAAGCCCCTCGGCACCGACTACAGGTGCTGCGAATTTGCAGAGTTGTGCCATCGCTGGGAAATTGTCATTTTCATCCGCTTATCATGATTTGCTACTGAGATACCGGTAGTTGCCATGGCAACACCTCATAATAAGGTCCCATGCTCTGATAAGCCGCAACATGAAACCGGTAGGGAAAGGATGGGAGGACTCTTAAGAAGTTGGACAATAATCTTTACATGCATATAATAACCTCTTGGAAAATTTCTTGCCCTGGTATAGTACTAGATAGGAGTTCATTTGAAAACCCCTCAAAATGGCAAATTTTGGGGTAAATTTACAGATCACTAGGCTTTGGCCTAGTCGCTTGGCCTTATAGTATTCGGATCCCTTGGCATTATTCGCGCCTGTGTGGGTGCCAAGCGTCCGAATACCTTATATGGCCAAGTAGAATAGAGTCGCGGACTCGAGGACCTAAAGTTAGCATTCACTTCCTCGCACCCGGAGAAACAATACCGGTACCTGTTCACAAAAACAGAGCGGCAAGAGCCCCTTAGAAAACTGCTTTCCAATACGCCTCTACGGTAGTGGCATTGTAAGCTTCTATCACAATTTTTTTTTACCGAGCAATGGGGGAGAGAGAGGGCTGGCGAAGCGTTTCCAAGGGCTGGTGTTGGAGTTATGGGGAGGTAGAATATAAAATTAAGAATCCGTTAACTGAGGCTGGTGGGGTGCGTTTGCCCAGTTAACCTGAAGTAACTGCACTATAACCCCTTGGATGGACCTTGAACAGTACGGTACAGTTCTCATCTTATCTAACAAATGCACTGAAAGAGGCTCTGTGTAAAGTGCTTTTTAAAAGTGGGGGTTTTCTTTCGTCTGGGGGCTGGGTTGTGCTGACTGGCGGGATGACCAAACGATATCGTGTAATACATGTGGGTAAGCGATTCCCGCCTTGCTCTTTTTCATCAATTACTTCGTGGCTACCGCCGCGCTGCTGTTACCCGCGGTATCGCCTCACCCTATGCATCATGACCACCACACCTACAGATCAAACTCTCAGTGCTGGTCGCAGTAACTATGGCATATCAGATACGCATATCGGCAGCGCCTTGACAAATAACGTGAGCGGCAGTTTAAATGAGAACATTGGTAATGTCTTACATAGTTACAATAACATCTTCAACCTCGGACCTTGTGAAGATACTTTACCGATTCAAGCATGGCTGTCTCCACTGGAACCACATAAACGGCACCAAGATGTGAGAAACCTCAGGCTGGATGGGATCGGGGATTGGGTTCTAAGGACGAGTGAGTTCGAGAGTTGGCAGGGGGGACGGGGCGGCTCGGCGAATCCTGTATTGTTGTGTTATGGCGGTCAAGGGGTCGGCAAGACCTATATAAGGTAGATTTACAACCGCTTTTTTCCAAGATGTCATGGAGGAGGCTAACAAGGAATGAGAAATAGCTCGCTGGTAGTGGACACTCTACGCGATCGGGCTCGTGGGAAGAATGCCGCCGTCTTTTCTCTCTACTGTGACTACCAGGCCCGGGAGGAGCAATCACCGGTGAACTTGATAGGAGGTCTTCTCAGGCAGGTTGTGGCGGGGGCCTCAGAGATTCCAGCTGAAATCAACTGCCTTTTTGAGGAGTCGAAAAAGCTGGGCGGCCAACGCCTTCTCTTGCGGGATCTGGTGCAATTATTTGTCAAAGCAATCAGTTTGTTCGAGCGAGTATTTATCTGCATCGACGCAGTTGACGAGCTATTGGCAAAGGATCGACCCGGATTTATTCGTGCATTGCGACAGATTATTGATGAAACGGCAAACACATAGTTGTTTCTCACAGGTCGGCCATATGTTCGGGGGGAGCTCGACAAGCATCTCGCGGGCCGGACATGTATAATACCCATTGTTGTAGATCGAGGAGATATCGCGAGATATGTTCGGCTTAAGATGGACGACGACCCGCACCCTAGGTTGATGAATGAGGATCTAAGAATGGAGATTATAGAAACGATCATGGGAACTTGCTCGGAGATGTAAGTGAAAGAGGCTCCATTACCGACCTGGATAATTCATTGACGTTCTCTTGAGGTTTCTGCTTGTGGTCCTGAATATGGATGCCATCTTGGGGGAGACCACGAAAGCCAGGAGACCGAAGGTGCTGGAAACGGTGGCTACATCTGGTGTGGCGCTCGGCGATGTGTATGGTGAAACATTACAGCGAGTAAAGGAACAGAATGATGGCCTATCGAGACTTGGGATGCAGGTGCTGATGTGGGTCTCCCATTCGCAGCGGTCATTGCGGGCCAACGAACTTTGCCACGCTCTAGCGGTAGAAATTGAGTCAACGGATCTGGACCTGGACAACGTACCGCCAATCAACACAGTTCTAGATTCGTGCCTTGGGCTTGTCACCATCGACAAGGGGAAGTTGACATTCCGCCTGATCCACTACTCACTCCAAGAGTACCTCTCCTACCAAAAAACCTTCCCTAGAGCACACCAAACACTTGCAGAAACCTG